TCGTCGTGTTGCGTCGCCCTGCCGGCACGCCGCCTCCCGCTCAACCGCATCGTCCACCCGCAATTTCGTATCACGCCCGCCGCATCAACATTTCCTCTATCGCATCATCATCGCGCGTCCTATCGGACGCTTATGCTTTTCCCTTCTCTCATATGGACATGGCTATTCCATGCACTCCCTATTCCTCATTGGTATCATATGAGAACCTGGCACAGGTTCTGAAGGGGGAGAATGTAACGGATCGTTCATTATCTTATCTTATCTACATAGTTAATCTACATCTTGTATCTAAATCTGGATCGTCATGGTGATCGGCGCTGATCCATCTGGATCCGCGCGACGTGGCGAAGGCTTCTCAGCCTTTCACCACGTCCACCATAGTATACGCCCTCTCAATCTAGAGATTGGTTCAGTGTACTTTGGACTTGTGTGAATCAGGCGACACCCGTATCATTACAGTGGAGGTGCGTGAAGAGAGTAAGCAAAGTATGACATACCTCTATAAGGTCTCGAACGCGCCGCTAATAGGGTTGGTACTCGATCCCTAGGAGTCTGGAGTGGTAGCAGATTGAAGAAGCGAGGAAAACGAACCTAGGGGTCGTTGTTGTGCATGGCACTCATGTGGTGGAGCGAAGCGCGAGAGGCAGCGCTGCGGGGACAGTCCATGCGCGCGTGCCAAGGGATGCAGCAGGAAATCCTAACGGAAGGCCTGCACGCGGATGTGCATGAAGCTGTGTACGAGGGTGAGAATATGTGGGGTGTGCGACGCGATGAGAGGGCGTATTTGGTATCGTGTTCGCGTCGCACGTCTCCGCCCTGTTTGGACCTGCCATTATATGACGATGAGCGAATCCATGTGCAACATTATACGGGATATGGGAGAAGCCACTGAATGAGCCGAGGATCCCTGTAATCAATTACCGAGAGGCCTTCCACCGGCGAGTCTGGCGTGTCCAAGCAGTCCGGAACGAACAGTAAGACGCGTCCGGTCATCCGCGTCACGCCCCACACCATCATGCAAGCCTGCAGCGCGAACAGCACCAGCGTCGGGTCCTGCGCGTGCTCCCGCCCCTCCAGCAGCTTCATGCTCTCTCTCCATCACACCCCTTCCGCATGGGACAGCCTACAGGATTGTTTGACGTGTGTCGGAGCCTGAGCAGGTTGCGCGCAAGGAAATATTGAACGGGAGAAGCCGCGTCGGGTCTGCGAGAGCGGCCTCGGCGGAATGTCGCAAAACGGAAGGGTACGCTGAGTATGTAGGCGAATTATGGGGAGAGAGGCGAGCGAGAGCGAGCTAGCGTTTGCGCCGGCGGGATAGGGTTGACGCGCCCAAGCGCGTCGGAAGGTAATGATGAGGAGTAGGACGCGAATGACGACTAGGGTGTGAGGGAATCCGGGGAGGCGAGGAAGGCGGTCGAAAGCCCGGAGAGCTCTTCGCGCGTCGAGCGCAGCTGGACGAGGTGGCTCTTGCTCTCGTGCTCGAGGGCCTGAACGCGCTGACGTTCGCGCTGCCCGTCCTGCTCGGACGATGTGCGGCCCTCCTTTGTGCTCGTCATGTCTCTCGTCCTCTTCCGTTCCGCACGACGGCCCATCCTCTCCTTCTCCTTCTCCCTCAGCATGTCCCGCTCGCGGTCCATTCACGATCGCGATCCTGCTCACGGTGTCCCGTTCGCGATCAGATGTGATTCTCTTCCCTGTCCTTGCCGTGGTCCTTGCCAGATAACCGGCGCGATGCACGTGCTATCGCTCTGGCTGTGAAATTGGAGATGTCGCGTGAAGATGGATAGGGAAGCGCATATGGATGCAAACGGTGGTTAAACATCGTGGTGGGACCTCTCTGCCAAGGCGTCGGGATTGATTGAGGACAGAGCTCTAGTCGTCGTCGTCAGTCCGAGATGCTGACATACACAGGCTATGGAAGCTCAACCAGGCTATTCTTACTTGTTGCTCAGTCGGGTACACGGTCGCTAGTTGAATTGTGGGCAAGAAAGCCGGCGGCAATGATCGATGTGGCCAGCAGCCTCATGCACGCGGCGCCCGACGTGCGCTTCTTCTTTCGGGCCGTCATCCATCCTGGCGTCTAATATGCTCTTTTCCTGAAGCTTTTCCATGTCCCTTTTGTATGACCCTGCCTATCGATGTTTCTCTACCGCGCAACCTAAGTACAAGTTGCCGTGAAAGGAGATGAGTACTGGGCCTGAAGGAGACCTCTTTGTGCTTTCGCAGATCACAACGGAACCGCCCACAATCATAGGGGTCATGGGTGCGTCTACCAAACACAACTCTTCCAACGTCCATGTTCATGTTCATTCCAGACAATGTGGATTGCGTAAGGACATTATAAAATACATGTAAAACACTTCGCTAGCGGCGCATCCATAGGGACGAGTCACGGCAGGACACCGCCGCAGACGTCAAAATCGGCGGCGGCTCAGATGACCTGCCTGGTGATCTTGTCCTCTTTGTGCTCGACGGTCTCAACGACGGTCCCGTGCGCCTTCTTCAACGGACCGTCAACCTCATCGCGCGGATATGGAGCCTCTGTCGAACCCGCACCGTTGCTTTTCATCGTCTGCGTCGACACGCCCGGCTCGTTCGGCACGGCATCCTGGGCCTGCGGCTCTCCGTGGTGCCGGCTCTTGATGTACGCCACCGTCTGGTCCTGCAGCTCGTGCGGGCTGCTTGAGTGCCTATCGGCCTGTAAGGGCCCGCGCAACGACATCAGTGGAGGTGCCCAAGGAGGGTATGAAAGGGAAGGTGACGTGCCTTGATGCTGGCCTCGGACGCGCTGGCGAGGTGCTCGTTCCAGCCGGGGGCATTTGGGATAGGGGTGGAGGTCTTGTGTTGCTGCTTGCTCAGGTTGCGCTGTTTCTCTCTCTCTAGGACCTGTGCGCGCGTGGGTAAGCCTGCAGTACTGGAGGAGGAAGGGGTGCGACGAACCTCGGGGTCGTTGTCATGCATAGTGCTCGTGTAACGGAGCGAAGTGCGGGAAGCCGTGGTGCGGGCGACGGTGCGCTTGAATGCGGTACGAGATGCGGTGGGGATGATGCCTGACATGATGTATTGTGGGTGGACGTTGAGAGCAAGATTAGAGGTGAGTTCAGTATCGAGGACGATGGTGAGCGTATGTGGGAAGTGCGACGCGCTGGGCGGGGCAATAAGAGGCATCGAAAGTGGAGTGCCGCGTTCGGTTGGGCAGACGGGGCTCCATGACGTCGACAGACGTTCACCCATCCCGCTGCATCCTATGATGACGTCACCATCAGCTACTCCCAGTCCCAGCTTCTCCCATCGCGGCTCCTCTACTCCAGTCGCTGACGACTCACCCCAGGCTATCAACAGCGTCCTTGAGGTAGGATTCAAGAGAAGAACCTGCGAAATTCAGTGCACGACGATACATCCCAAGTTGAGTAATGTCATAGCGATCTAAGCCGGCTTTTGATCATTCCATCGAACTTAATGAGCTCGTTTACGGTATGTCACCATGTCCAATATCTCGAAATGTGAGTCCTGCACTGTTGATGATGTAGCACTATCGCAAACGACTTCAATTCAGTGCTCTAGATAGTCCCACGACGGAAATCTTCGGAACAGCAAAATACGTTGTATCCAGCTCCATGCTTGACTGATGCATTCAGCGACATAACGTGATGGGTCATGAACATCAGCCTGATGAGACTCGTAGGCTTACAATATATTGGCTCACAATAATGTCATGACCTTACATCCGCTGACACGACGGACCCCAGCGGTGAGCGCCTAGCTTCTACGGCGTCGACAAGCCACGACTCCCTGCACGCTCATCCCACCACGCTTAGAAGGGGGTCCGGCAAGAATGACCTGGTCAATCTCTGCTTTGCGACGAATTGCACGCCACACGCAACAGGGCAGGCGGCCCATGTATCGTACCGGTAGTCCGAGGGGTCGAGTCTCTCTGCGCCGCTTCGGGACTTTGTGCCACTCATCAACCTTCTCTTGCCGGGCAGACGCCCTCCGCCCATCCTCCTCGGTTCCCATTCAACGTTTCTGTACCCAGGCCTGCAATTGTTGTTCCAATCATACGACAATCCAATCTGGATGCTTTCTGAGATACACCTGAACCCGTAACGATCTTCGGTATTCCAAGTGGTAGAGGCCTGTCAACCGTATTGTTTCGCACCACAAACGTCTCACCTCCACAATTCCCTGCAATTTTCCCGGCAAATCACGCCTATTCATGTCGATTTCATAGCTCTCTAGTGCGTCTCAGGGCATTGACCGCATTATGGTCCATGCCCACGCCCTTCGGCTCAAGCGTCCTCCCAGTTCCCCTTGGCTCTCAGCTCTCCCACATCATTTGGCTCGCTCATCACCCGTCGTCCGCGAGGAGCACGCAATTCCCGGCGTACACATAGGTGCCCGCTGCGTCCCTTCACCTGTGGCGTCCTACGCTTGCTTTGTCTGTCCTGGTTTCACTATGTGGGCGCACTGGCCGCGTGTCTCGCCTGACGCCTCTCGGCCTCCCCGCTGCCTCGTCCTTTGCCCCAAGCGCACTACCAAAGCGCAGACGACGCAGGCTTAAAATGCCGCTCGCACGCCTCCGATCGTCCGACACACCCACATCCCATCACGTCTTCGACTCGCGGAACCGACCTCTGCTCTCTCCACCCGCCCAGCCCTCCAACAATGGCCCTTGCTCCCCGGAATTGTCCCCCTAAAATCCCACTCAACGCACCGCCCCGAGACTACCGCTACGTCGTCCGCGAAAAGGGGTATCGTCCGTTCAGGGACCGCAGGCTCCCCCAAACCATCACATTCACCCAGGCTCCCCGGGGCAACGAACCCGCAGGCTACGTCCCGCCCCCGGGCGTCCTCATGCTCGAAATCCGGGGCAGGCGGCCGCAGTACGTGATCGCGGACCCCGCCGACACACCGCTCGAGCTCTTCATCACTCAGGGCGTCTCCGAGCTCCTCCTCCTCATATGGGTACGTGGCCCCTCCGTCATCTCCCTCTTACTCTTTCCTCCTCCTCCTCCTCCTCCTCCTCCTCCTCCTCCTCCTCCT